CAAGAATCGAAGAAGAACTTCATGAGAATGCACATATCGATTATGATCGTGTAGCTATTCAATGGAACCCTTCAGTTGCTCAATTATATGAGGATGCTTTAAAATATGAAACTGGTTCTGCAATTTCTTCATCTGGTGCATTGGTAACGGCTTCTGGTATGAAAACTGGCCGTTCCCCAAAAGATAAACGTATTGTCGAAGAACCCGGCTCATCCAATGATATTTGGGTTAGTATGAACTAAAATTTATATATATATATATTATTTTTTTTTTTTGACGTGAAAAAGACCAAAAAATTTAAACAATGTTTCAAATAATGATTTAATAGTGGGGACCTGTTAACACTAAATTGCCAGAACACGTTTTCCTCATCAATCGAGAACGTGCGGTTGATTACTTGAATACTCGTTCACGTATCTATGTTTTTGACGGTTTTGCCGGATGGGATCCAAAATATCGTATCAAGGTTCGTGTGGTTTCGGCTCGTGCCTACCACTCCTTGTTTATGCGAAATATGTTAATACGTCCCACCCCGGAGGAACTCGAAAATTATGGAACTCCCGATTTCACTATTTATAACGCTGGTGCTTTCCCGGCAAATCGTTACACAACTGGTATGACGTCTACCACTTCAGTTGCAATCAATTTTCACATGAACGAAATGGTAATTCTTGGAACCGAATACGCTGGTGAAATGAAAAAGGGAATGTAAGCAAACGAGAGATTTTTTTTTTTCTTTTTTCTTTTATCATTTATTTATTTATTTTAATATCCACCTTTTTTAATATTTAATTAGCTTCACCGTAATGCATTACTTGATGCCTATTAAGCACAAAGTTTTATCATTACATTCATCTGCAAATGAAGGTCCCGATGGGGATGTTTCAATTTTCTTTGGTCTTTCCGGTACCGGAAAGACTACACTTTCTGCTGATCCAAAACGTTTCTTAATTGGTGATGATGAACATTGCTGGTCAGATGATGGGATATTTAACATCGAAGGAGGTTGTTACGCGAAATGTATTAACTTATCTGCTGAAAGAGAACCTGAAATTTTCAATGCCATTCGTTTTGGTTCAGTCTTGGAAAATGTTGTTTATGATCAACATACCAGAATTGTCAATTATGATGATTCTTCTCTTACAGAGAATACTCGGTGTGCTTATCCAATTGAATTCATTCCAAATGCTAAAGTACCATGTATTTCATCAAGCCATCCAAAGAATATTATTTTACTGACATGTGACGCTTATGGAATTCTTCCACCAGTTTCAAAACTTTCTTCGTCACAAGCTATGTATCATTTTATTTCTGGTTATACCGCAAAAATTGCAGGTACTGAAGATGGAGTAACAGAACCAGAAGCTACATTCTCTGCATGTTTCGGACAACCCTTCCTCGTATTACATCCTTATCGATATGCCAAAATGTTGGCAGATAAAATGGAACATCATAAGGCTGATGCTTGGTTAATAAACACAGGATGGAATGGTGGAGCTTATGGTGTAGGAGAACGTATAAAGCTCAAATATTCTCGAGCTATTATTGATGCTATTCATTCTGGTGAATTGGCAAATTCAGAATATGAAAATTATGAAGTTTTTAACCTTAACATTCCAAAATCTTGTACCGGAGTACCATCAGAAATTTTACATCCTTCTAGAACTTGGAAGGGAACTCAAGAGGATTATGTTAAAACTAGAGACACATTAGCTAAAAGTTTTATTGAGAATTTCAAAATTTATCAAGAACAAACTGCTTCAGAAGTCGTTCATTCTGGTCCAATTCTTTCATAAATAACCTATATGTAGTAAATATTTTCTTTTTTTTTTTTTTTAAAAAAAAAAAATTCTTATAAGAATGGAAATTTAAACGTAATAATGTTTTTCATTAATTCATTAATTTAAATATATAACTTTTTTTGCTTTATAATAAATAAAATGAATTTTCTAACAAATGACATATGCGCAGATCGACAACCTGATTTCCTAATGTGATATAGTTCATGATTTATTTATAAGAATTAAAAATAAAAAAAAAAAATAAAAAAACTCAATATTTGAACACTCAATACGACTCGATTAATTTTGTCAGTAAAACAAAACAATGAGTCAAGTTAAACTTTACAATAATCCTTTAATTATCAGGAACATTGAATTTAAAGAATATGTCACAGAGAAAGAAGCTTTAAAGAAGGTCGATGAATTCAGGTTTAGTGATTCAGGGCAAACATTGTCCGATAGTAAGAAGAATAGTTTAAAAAGGATTGCAAATTATTTATCTACTCATCCAAATTTTGATGAGGTTTCTGACGATCACGTGCTTATAAGGGAAGGGTATCCCATGATTTTCACCAGTAACAATTATAGAAAGTTGAAATATGAAAAACCGGTTAAAAAAGCTGAAGGAACGGGCGAAAGTTCGATCGGGCATAATCAACTACTTAAAGGTGAAATCACTTCAGCTATGAGTGATCCACTCAAAAAAATTAATTCTTCAAAGCCAAAATCTAAAATACGTGACATTCTTATCGCTAAAGGTATAGATTATAAATCTAAAACATTTATTCAGGATGAAGATGGAAAAATGAAATTGGTAAATAAAGAAGAACAAGAGATATTCGAAGTGAATGAAAGTTTGAACGTTGAAGACGATTTGTTTATGGAAGGTGGATCGACAAAGAATAGGCTTAGGGGAATGGATACCATCAATAATAACAATGGATTTGGACAAAACAAGAGTGAATTGAATGATGATAACAGTTCCTTAAAGAACAAGAGATTTATGTTAAATCAAAATGATGGCATTAAAAAGAAATCTAAGAAGGCGAATAAATTGATTCAGAGCAACATCAAATCAAATAAAGTTGTAATTTCGCCACCAAATAAGAAGAAAAAGAAATCTAAATAGACATAGTATCATAGATTTTTTTTTTTTTTTAAAAAATTTTGTAATTTAAAGCCCAAGTATTTTTTTTATATTAAAGTTGGAAAAAATCATGTGAAAAATTAAATACATTCGACAAATTTATTGCGTAACATAAATTAGTCCGAGCGCACATTATTGTTGATCAAAAATTCAAATCGATTATTACTTTTCTTTTTTATATTTATTCGTCGTTATAGAAGTTATGGAATCAGTACAAAAGTTTTTCGGAAAAAAACCAACCCCGGATGAAATGGTAATACTTCAAAGTAATTATTAAAGTAATTCGGACGTCACAATAAACTTTCTCTATATTATTTACAAACTTCTAAATGATTTTTTGTGTTTATTTTGATACAAGGTAAAGAAATGGCAAAGAGAAATAAGAACTCAACAACGATCCTTAGATCGACAGATAAGAGATTTTGAAGAAGTAGAAAAAAAAACTACAACATTATTAAAACAAAACGTTAAAAAAAAAGATTTACCAGCTTGTAAATTATTTGCCAAGGAACTTGTTAGAACCAGACGACAAAAAACTAGATTATATACTAGTAAAGCACAATTGAATTCTATTCAATTACAACTTCAAACTCAATCAGGTAAGGTTCGTGAATTATAAGGGAGAATCGATTAAACATTATCTTAATAAAAAAATTTTAACATATTAAATAGCTACTCTAAAATTATCTGGATCATTAAAAAAAAGTACCGAAATAATGAAAATGGTTAATGGGTTAGCCAGGTTACCAGAATTATCAAAAGGTATGCAGGAATTATCAATGGAAATGACAAAGGTAATGACAGGTATTCAACAATAATTTATAACAACAATAAAAAAAATAAAATAAAATTAACAATAACATTCTTTATGATTAGGCTGGTATCATCGATGAAATGTTAGAAGATACATTTGAATTAATGGAAGATAGCGACATTGAAGAAGAGGCAGATGAAGAAGTCAATAAAATTTTATTTGAAGTTACAAATGGTATTAAATAATAATAATAATAATAATAATTTATTAAAATTTTATAAAAAAAGTTATAAACTAATTATTTTATTCTTTGAAGGATTACTTGGTGAAGCTAGTGTTGTTAATGTACCACTAGAGGTATGAATTTAATATAACAACTTTTTACTTAATAATTTTTTTTTTGTTTGTTTTAATTCAATTCGTTTCAATCCTCCATTTTTAACAGAATCCGGGATTAGAAGAAGAGGAGGAACCTGCCGCGGCATTGGATGAAATGCAAGCTAGATTACACGCATTAAAATCTTGATATATCATCTTTCATTTGCACACTTTTCTCATTCCATTAGGATATTCCTACTTTATACAGTTACTAATAACCAATATTTCATTATTTAAAACTTGTGGTATTTTATTGAATCAAAGTACTTTTTATTGTTTTAGACTCTGTTTATTTTTGTTTTTATTTTATTATTATTATTATTATTATAGTTTATAGTACATTAGAATGAATTAATACATTATAGGTAAGTTGGTAAAAATTTTTTTTTTTTTTTTTTTTTTAAATAGATAGATTAAAGGACGTAAAGGACAGAAACGCTAGGGTTTAATTTAAAAAGGAAGGAAAAGAAAGGACTGGACATCTCTAATATCTTTGATATTATTTTCTAAATCAATTTAATCATTAAAATTTTTCATAAAAAATTCTTAAATAATTTATAATTAAGTATTTTCTTTCCCCATTATACCTTTATCTATTAATAAGTATTACATCAAAACAACATACAGGAACTTTCTTCTAATCTAATTTAACATTTTTGTAAATTGTTTTAACAAATTTATTTGCTGCAAAATATCCAACAGTACCTATTTTATTTTAAATTATAATGATTATTAAGGGATTTATTATTATTTTTTTTTTTTAAAAAAAAATCTTATTCTACTTACCCAACATAACGAATAATCCAAAACATACTATAGCTATGTTTCCAAAATAAAATGATGTCTGAAAGAGACCGTACATTCTGATAAGATAATAGAAGATCGTTAAAAAAAAAAAAAAAAAAAATTTCAAAATGTCTAAAGGAATTAAAACTTACTTTGTTCTATTAACATAATAATATATAGAATATAAATAAACATATATTGCAGTAGATCCACAAGTCAAAAAGCTCATCCAATGCCTGTAAATAGTAAACGGAAAATTTTGAACGATTGTTCTAAATTCACAAATACATATATAATTAACATACCATCGATGATCCTCAGCATTAAGCAAAATATATGTGCTAACTATGGTAACACATGCTGTTACTATGAGGAGGATTATGAAAACAAATAACATAAATCCATAAACATAGTAAATCTTATATGCCCAAAATGACGAGAAAATAAAATAAATCTCGATGAAAATCGACGCAAAAGGAAGAATACCACCTAAAGCTACAACCATGAGCGGTTCTGCATACCTAATTTTTTGTTTAAAACACCAAAATAATAATAATAGTGATGATTATATTATTATTACTATATATCAAAATTAAATGATTTTATCTCTTGCAATAATAAATATTATATAAATATACCAAATTTTTTCAGGAATTGGTCTAGGAATAGGATTAACACGACAAGGAAAACTTGGGCGACTTGCCCAATTACGACAAAGAATTGTTCCAAGCAATGTTAATGGAAACACAAGGAACAACCAAATTGCAAACATTGCCAACTAAAATTATTTAAACTGTTAATAAAAGTAATAACTAATAACAATAATAATAGAATTGTTTTTTATAATACCATAATCGTGAAAGGGATGGCACGTGAACTAGAATAATACATGGCAATGGAATTAATTATTATAGTGATAATACTTAGAATTCCGGGCCATAAAGAAGCCGTAACTAGAACATTCTTTATCCAATGACGACCTATAATAATTATGTTAACATTCATTAATTGTTAAAAATTAAGCATAATAAATGTTCAATTTACCTCCGTACACGTAATAAGTGCTTGCGCTTGTATAACCAGCAACCACTGAAGTCAATGTATAAAAGAAGATTGAAGCCGTCAAAATAGTAGCGCGCCTAATAAGAAAAAAAAAGATTGTACTTTAATTATCGTTAAATTAATATCCATTAAATTTTTTGATTTCCCAATCCCAAATGATTATCATACAGCGGTTCAATCCAAATTGAATTTTTGGAGTCGATATTCACTCTGCGTATAAATTTCCAATTATTGTGTATAAAATTATAACAAGCGTTAACCATGCTAATTGGTGACCAGTTCCAACTAATGCTGAAAAGAGCAATAACGATCTTGGAGCACGAAAAACGTCACCGTGAACTTGTTTCCAACCATATTCATCACCCAAATCATGATCCTACACAAAAAAAATATTATAAATAATTATTAACATAGTATATATATATATATATATATAAACATTATATTAAGTACATTCATATATTAATTATTATTTTTCTCACTAAACAATAACCAGCTAGCATCTTATTGAATAAAGAAAATAAAATTTACCAAATCTCCAAGTAACTCTTCTTTATCATATCTAGCGTAGTCTTTTTTTAACATGCGAAGTAATATAATGCTGACAAAACCCGCTAAAAAAATAACCATGATAAACGAATTGAAAATAGAAAACCAATGAATCTATTTTAAATAAGAAATTATTAAGTTATCCCGACAAGTACAAGAAAAATCGTATATATTTTTTTAATTTCAGATACCTACGCAAAAAAAAATTAAATACCTTATGTTCAAAAAATTCAGTATCCAAAAGTTTATCGAATCTTGTATCAAACGAATCTTGAGTTTCAACCCATTTAACTGAATATGAAAATCGTGATGGGATATCCCTGGTCTCCCAATGCAATTTTATAGGACTTCCACTTTCAAGCTTCACTTGAACAATCTAATATAACATATTGAATTCATTATTTTATATTAATAGTTAGTTTTACAACATTGTAAGTTAAAATATGATACCTTGTCATCATTATAACTCATTTCAAATTCTCTATGCGTGTATAGAAACACATCACCCGAGACACTGTCTAATTCACCAACAAATCCTATAACAACAATAATGATTTATTATATCAGAAACGCTCTTAAATATATTTAAGTAAACACACTTTGAAATTACCCCATATTGGCAGGTCATCTATATGAAATTTTAAAGGATTCAAATTAGAATATAAAAATTGCGGTAAACCTCAAATAAATTTAACCAAATTTGTCGTATTACCAAGAAACATCTGATACCAATAATTATTAACAACAGCGTAACGGAAAAGATTTACATCTTTTGCTGTTAGTTCTTTCTCACAGATAGTTGCATTTTGTTCGTTTACTATAATAAAAAAAAGTCATTATTAATAACATAAATACATAAATACATAATATATATTTAGATTTATAAATAAACTATTCTATATAATAATTGGGAAATTATTCAAATTTTTATATTGATAAAGACATGCACCAGCTGAAATTGCTTGATAAATAGTTTTAACATCCTCTATGAATAGGACAATCGGTAATTTCTTTTTCCTACAATTTGTCTTCTTATTAAGAGATTCAATAAAAAACAATTGAAGACTCCTCTCTAATTTTACCAGATAATATTTTCACAAATTAAAAGGAAATAAAGACACTCACTAAGAAACTTCATACCAATCCCAGAATTCACCAGCTCCATACCTAAGAAAAATTAGAAAAGAAATATTTTATCACTAATAATCCATCATCAAATCTATTAATTTCTAAACATAAATTAGTCACGTTCCATACTCTGTGTAGTTTGCGTAATCCCATATAACATGTACGTACCCAATAATGCTTCGCCTAACGTTTCATGATGATGTTCTAAAAAAGGAATAACATAACATTAAAATAGAACATAAATACATCGGTTCTATAATAATAAATAAATTTATAATTACCAGCAACGTGAATTCCCTTACAGTATGGTAATTGAAAATACTCGTATGTTTCTTGTCGATTCGAGCGTGGACCTACAGTATTGACCCATATTACTACATCCTCACCGACTTCATACTATGTTTTGAGTATTAAAGTATAAATGAGTATATATACATATTGCTTTTTTTGTAGATCTTTAACATAAGTAAAGAAGCAACGTACCAAGTGGGAATGCTCATCTGCATCTACAAAAACCGTATATATTAACAGTAAAGCGATCCAAAATTTGTACCTATAAAGCATTTTAATAATTCGAGATTACGATCACTCAACAAGTCGGACTACACATCTACATAGACGAAAGTGTTTTAGCCAATCATAACTCATTGTACGCTATCATACAATAAAATATGATTGGTTGTTATCATACAGCACAGTCACCAACAAAATTTTACGCTCACATGATTTTTGCCAGCGTTATGGCATTAAGTGTGGCGTCGCAAATTTAAGTGTGGCATACACGGTGACAAATAATTCAAACCAAGTCGCTGAAATATAACAAATATTTTACTAATTTGTCACACACTCTCTACTTTTTCACCTTATTTGCAAACATTAATGGTGGTTGAATGAGGTCACGTGTGGTGAAAAGTGTCGGAAGATATAAAATAAGCGCGTAAAAAAACTCAAAAAAAAATTGACCATAATTTCTATAATTACCTTTCTAATAGTTAAGGCTGAAAAAATTAAGTTGACGAATTTTGATTCATTGACAAATAAAACAACCATAATGGAGAGCAGTCAACCAAATCATAAATATCAATTGAGATCCTCAGATCGTGGAAGGTGAGACTCAATTTAGTTTTCAATTTTTTTTTCTAAAAATAATCCTATTTAAAATTAATTAAAGCCCAAAGAAAAATGAAAAACCAAATGTTAGACGTCGGTTAACATCATGGAACAAATTAGAAGAAAAATACCCTGAAATTTTTAAATACAAGAAAGACAGCCGAGAAGAAGTACTTGAGTATTTGAAAGACCAAAATGATAATGATAACAAAAGCGTTATCTATATTAATTCTGAATCTTTGACAGTTAGAAAATTATATGATTTGTGTGATAAAGAGATATGGCTTTCTTCTGATCATATTAATGCCTATCTTTCTTATTTGAACAATAAATTCCCTCGTATATTTTCTCTTCCATCTTTTTTTTATACAAAGTTGACGGAAACTGGCAGATACGATTATTCTTCCGTTATACGTTGGACAAAACGAATAGAAATTTTCAAAAAGGAACTTATCTTTATTCCTATTAACTTGGACGAGTCTCACTGGATCTTGGCTGCAATTTTTATGAAGTTTCCACGTAGAATTGCAGTGTTGGATTCATTAGGAATATTGATGAATAAAAGTGCCGTCTCTATTGGGAAAAATCTCATAAAGTGGTTGAATGATGAATATCGCAATAAAGTTCAATCTGTAGATAATGATGATGAGTTTGAAGATTTTGAAGTAAATGATAAGGATCCATTTCGATTAGTTAAAGCTAATGATGATGATAAAAATTTTTTATTGGATATAGTTTTTCTAAATCAAACACCTCCACAGTCTGATGGATGTTCTTGTGGCGTATTCGTTTGCATGTTTGCAAGATTAATGGCAGAAGATATTAATAGAGATATCATTATAGAGATCGCTAAATCACAAGAAGCTAATATGAAATTTAGAAAGGTGATGTGTACAGAGTTATGGGATTATGCAAAGGAGGAAAAGGCGCAACTTGACAATGATTACATCGATGGAATTACTTCATATAATGTCTCCTTTTAATGATTAAGAAAATGAAGATTTATTTTATTTTGTATTTTTATTTTATTTTTTTTTTTTTTTTATATTTCCGTTTGATAATTATTTTTTAATGAAAGAATTTACATTTACCTTCACACCTATAATAAAATATATTGATGTATATGTTTTATTCATGTAATAATAGTTTATAATTAAAATATCATTGCAAAATTTTTATTTTATTTGTATATAGTGTATATGAAATCTAACATATTCCTAAAAGTTTTAAATTAAAATAATTTGAATTTTTAAATAATTAAAATACAATATTTTTAATCTTATAAATATCTTAAAAAATAATTATCAAAGGAACAAAATAATAATAATTTTAAAGATATTTTTTATAAAAATAATTGATATATATTATAATTATAAAATTAAAATTATCCTTAAACAGCTTAACATTTCATGTTCACCCTTATAATAATTTACATACATTCACTTTGAAATCCTTCATTTAATATCATCATAATATTTCAGTTTAATTTAAAAATATATTTAATAATATAAATTTTTTTTTTTTGTTTAATTGGATAATGTAAATAATAAGAATTATAAAAATACCATATATTTTCTGCAACTATATTTCTTATATTATTTATATCTAAAATATATTATAATTTATATATTATTTATATTTCTTATATCTTATATATTTTTAATAACTTTATATATTAATTTTTTTATAAATATAATAGTAATTATACAATAAAAAAACATTGATATAAAATAATACTAATTTGTTATTCAATCTAAATAAATGACTTTTATTAAAAAGTAATTATAAAATCAATCTTTTACTTAATATTAAATACTTATAATTAATAAGTAATCCAAAAATTAATTATAACAATTATAATTAATTATTATAAATATTTTTACCTTTTTTTAATTATTAAAAATTTTTTTACTTATTATATTTAAACTTTAATATATTGAATTTCTAGTTTAAGAATAAAAGTTCTATATATAGAAGGTATACAGTAAACTGAAATTTTTATATATTGAACTTTATAATAATAAAAAGTTTAATATTTCAAAAATTATGTAATTTTTTATATAATATTTACAGTATAAAAGATTGTTAAACTTTATAATATAAAAAAGTCTTTTTATTAAATCATTTCTAATAATTTTATTAAATATTATCTCATAATGTGATCATATAATTTATGTTATAATGATCATTAAAATTATCGATCAATATAGTGAATTTTACCATTTCACCTTCTCACATTTCTTTTTATTATCATTTTTCTACAAAAATTCCACTTTTTCACATTTTTTTATTGTTGCTTTGCTAAAAAGAAAATAGTTTCTTTGTAATATTTACTAACATTTTAATAATATTAAAATAAAACTACCTTTTATTTAATCTTTTATTAATAAATTTTTATTGATAACATTGGTATTTTTTTATAATTTATATTTACCTCACTTTTTTTTTGCATTTGATGATTAGATTTTCAGATTTTAATACAAAATAATGAATAAAAAAAATCTTAAAAATACATTTTCCCAATAAAAACTTATCTTCTCATGATAGAATATCAAAAAAAAAACTTTTATTATACCTGATATTGCCTTTAAGATGATATTTAAATTATGTGTTAGAATGTAGTTTAATGATTAAAATCATGTATATTTAATTTTTCTAGCTTATAAAAATCAGATTGGCTTGTATAGTAAATACAAGATAAATATTTTAATAAAAATAGAGACATATATAACTATTCTTCTATCTACTTAATATTTCCAATACATTGAATTTTAAGTAGAATTTTTACATGTTATAATATTTTATTTGAAGTAACCTTTAAATCTCAATTTGAAGCATTATGTATAAAATTTTTTAGATATTTTATCATATTTGAAAACATTATATCTAATTAAACATTGATAAGTTAAATTTATTATATTTCAAGTAAGAATCAATTTATGATTAGGGTGGTTAATATTAAGATTAGTTAAGATTAGTTAGGATTAGTTAGGATTAGTTAGGGTTAGTTAGGATTAGTTAGAGTTTATTAAGTTGATTAGAGTTAGGGTTAAGTTTAATATAGATTATTAATCATATAATCGATTCTTATTTAAGATTTTAATGCTGGTATTAAAGATGAACATAATATATTACATCATATAAAAATTATAAAGGAAATGAATATACTTAGAATGTTTCTATTAAATTTGTTGTATTATATAATTGTTTAAATTTTAATTACATTTGTAAAACTTATAATTTATATATATTTTTAATATTGCTAATAAAATAATATATTAATCACATAATCTATATACTATGCCATAATAGAATGATCTTTAAAATATTAATATAAAATGTAAAATATTCATATTATATTATTAATAAATGTTAAATATTCAAAAAAAAATAAAAAATTAGGAAAAATATATTTGTAATATCCTGTTACATGTTTTATTTGTAATACCCTTTTTTATTATTTTTAATAATAAATTATTTATTAAATATTTTATAAATAAGATTTTTAAATGCAAAATTTAATTTAGAAAACTTTTACTTAATATATTAAAGACAGTTTTATAAATAAAATTTTCAGTTACAAACAGTTTTTTGAAATTTTTTAAAAAAATTCTTATTTTCATTACACAACTGATCTATTGTTTTAATTTGCTAAATTATTGACATTACACTTGATCTTAAATTTTGATTGAATAAAATTTTAAGTATTACAAATAAAACATATAACAGGATATTACAATTAGATTTATCCAAAAAATTATATTATTAATTATTATAATCTTAAGTTATACATGATCTATTATATATTTAACCTATCTAATATCAATTGAACTCTACTATTTTTATTAAAATGAATAATTTGTTTTTTAAGATTATATAATAAATTTCTATTATTAAACTCTATAATAAAAGTATCAGATAGATTATTAAATAAAGA